AAGCTGTGACATGCAGCTGATACAACCTTGCTTGCTGAATGAGAAGAGGACTTTTAAAATACTTACTGATGAAGATCAAAGAAAAGTATGCAAGCCTCCAGTATGGATTGCACTTCAGTGTTAAGAAAACAAAGATCCTTACAATAGGACCAATAAATAACATCATGACAAATTGAAAAGAGATTGAAGTTGTTAAAGACTTCAATTTGCTTGGATAAACACAAATGGAAGCAGCAGTCAAGAAATCAAACAATGTATTGTATTAGGTAAATCTGCACAGACCTCTTTAAAGTGTTCAAGAGCAAAGTTGTCAGTTTGAGGACTAAAGTAGCCTGATGCAAAACATAGTATTTTCAATGGACTCATATGCATATTATAGTTGGACAATGAATATGGTATTGGAGAAGAATATTGAACGTACCATGGACTGCCAGAGAATAAACAAATCTGTGTTGGAAGAAGTAAAGCCATTCTGGCTCTTCAAAGCACTTTTCTAATGCTCCTTCGAAGCCAGGATGGCCTGACTTTGTCTGTTGTATGTCAGACATATTATCAGGAGAGAACATTCCCTGGGTAAGAATATTATGCTTGGTAAAGTGAAGGATAAGCAATAAAGAGGAAAACTCCCAACAAGATGGACTGGCACCATGGCAGCAGCACTAATTTCAAACATAACCACAATTTTGAGGATGTTACAGGACCAAGCAGTGTTTCATTCTGTTGTTCTTAGGGTTGCTGTTATTGTTAAATGTGGTTGAGTCAGTTCCAACTCATAGTGACCCTGTATAGGGTTTCCAAGGAGTGACTGGTGAACTTGAACTGCCAACCTTGCAGTTTAAACCGACCTTGCAGTCCAGCGCGTTAACTCACAGCACCAGATCAGGACTCAGGGTAGCTGTTAGTTGGAACCAAATCAAGAACTCCTAAAAACAACAACTATCTATAGGTGTTGGCACTCTAAGGAATTCTGAAATCTCACGTATTCTTAGAGAAGGCTACTTAATGTATGAGAAAGAGCACTGGCTACTGAGGGTGGCAGAATCAAAATATATGCTCTTCTCTTTTTATTAATTTTTTAGAGGACCTTAAGCAAAGTACTCTCTCTGGTCTTTCATTATAGATTATTAAAAATTTGAGTAGTAATACCAGAAAGGATTGCTGTGGGGATTTCATGATCTATCACAGGTAAAAGTTTGTTAGGGACTTCTAATGCATTATAGGTAACTCAGTCTTTGCCCACACATAACCATAAACACACACATGCCTTCCTGTCTCTTGCATCACCCAGTTCTTCCACTCTTCTCCAACAGATTACTCAAGAAAAGAATTGTGTAAGTGGTGAGATGAAAATAAGTGTGCAATGTGACTTGCAAGAAAGCAGAAGAAAGTAAATTTTCATGCCATAGCCTATGAATAATCTTTCTGCTGGTATAATATAGTACCCATTTTGGGTTAATATTGCCATATTAAGAATATATCCTTGAGACCACAAGAACTAGAATGCTGCTTGGCTACCATTGCCAACCACTCTGATTAAGATCACAATAGAAGATCCTGGACAGAGAGGAAGGGGAAAATGTAGAACAACATCCAAAATCATAAAGACCAGGTATACTGGTGTGACAAACACTGATGGAACTCCTAAGCCTGAGACCCTTACATAAAGCCTGAAACTGAATCTACCTCCTGAATCAACTTTCAGTCAAACAATAGACAGGTCTCAAAAATGAATAATAACACTAGGGGAAAATGGACTCCTCAGTACAATCAGGTGATTCCAAAAGAGCAGCATCTGTTCAGGAATAACACTCAAAAGGCAAGAAAGGGCAGGAAAGAACTATAAATGGAAATTGGGAACCTAGGGAGGAAGTGAAAGAGTTCTATTGACAGAATGGTAACCAATGTCAGGAAACAAGATGTGTACGTATTGTTCCATGAAAAATGAAATAAAATTCATCTTTCCTTTTAACCAAGACTGAACAATAATAGAATTACATAAAATTGTCAAATAGGAGACTCATGTTGTTTTTGTTGTTAAATGTGGTGGAGTTGGTTCAGACTCGTAGTGACCCTGTATAGAGTTTCCAAACCTGGTGGAATGAAACGCAGATTTTGTAGTTTGACTTATCCTATAATGACACACCAGGACTCCAAAGGAGACTCACAGAGGAGGCAAAATTACTAATTCTACGAAGAGATGGGTTGTTATTCACCCCCTTTTCATATTTCACCCTTCTAAATGTTTGACTCATGTCCTACTATAAAAAAATACATTTCTCTAAAGTGGAAAAGTCTATGAATAATCTTGCTCCTGGTATAACATAGTATCCATTTTGTGTTAACACTGTCATACCAAGTATATAGCCTTGAGTCCACAAGAATTAAAATGTTGCTTGGCTATATGGTTATACTCATTTACTAAGAACTCCCTTTCACTTAAAAACTAAGTATATAAATACAACGACGCCCTGCTGGCATAGCAGTTAAGTGTTAGTCCACCAATCACAAGGTGGGTGGTCCAAGCCCACCAGCTTGTCTGAGAGTGAAAGATGAGGCTGTCTGCTGAGAAACCCTAGATAAGGTTGATATGTGCCAGAACCAACTCATTGGCAGTAGATTTGGTTTTTAAATCAATCTCACACTGCAGAATTCTTAACAAATTAAAATGTAAAAATAAATTGTCATTTTATTTCTTCACTCAGGGTCTTTCCTTACTGATCTTGCATGTTTCTTATCTGCTATTTTCTGATGTTGTTCTTATGTATATCTTTAAATTCGCTTGACCTCCATTCTACAACATAGCCACAATTTTGAGGATGTCGCAGGACCGAGTAGTGTTTCCTTCTGTTGTGCCTAGGGTTGCTATTGTTGTTATGTTGTTAAATGTGGTTGAGTCCGTTCCAACTCATAGTGACACTGTATAGGGTTTCCAAGGAGTGACTGGTGAACTTGAACTGCCAACCTTGCAGTTCAAACCGACCTTGCAGTCCAGCACATTAACTCACAGTGCCCCAAAAGCCATAAGCCAGTCCTATTGAAATGATTTCATCTTGCTATCACCATGCTTTTTTATAACACCTCCTACTCAGGTGTCTATTCCTATAGAACAGAGAAATCCTTAATATGTTCTGTCATCCAATATAATTTCTCTATATAATAATAATTAGTTACTGAATAATATGAGAAAATGCTTTATTTACATTCAAATCATCTTCAATGACTTCTGTAAGCTTGACATTTACAAGCATATTAATAAGAGCTCTGCAAATCACAAGTCTCAAATTTTCTTGACTTAAGTGTGTTAGATGATGAAGGTGAAGAGTATTGAAGGCATAAAGAAACATTACCTTTCTCTGAGATTGGATGTCTCCTGGCGATGCCTCGAGAGCTGAAGTCTAATTGAGTATATCCATCCTCATCCAAATTTCCTACATCAGAATGATATTCCATTGTTCTCTCAAGATCCTCGATAGACACTGCACTTCAGAGCTCTGTCTTCTCTTTTAAGCTCACTTCCTGTGGACAAAAGAGGATCTATGAGTCACACAACATGTGGGATAGACAATTACTGAAGTTTAGCAACTTGAGTTTAAGTAGTCCAGCCAGATACTCAGAAGAAGGAAATGAAAACTACGTTGTGGAAATTTCTCATTTGCCCCTTTGTATCCTGTTTATGAGATTTTTTTGATGGTAAAAGGCAGCATAGGAAATGGACCTTTGTTTCAGACCTAATAAAATAAAAATATATAGATTTATGTCCAATGCTGCTTTCCTTATTCTCCTATCATTAAATGACTTGGCCTATGCAAACTATTTTGACATCATTAAATGACTCAGCCTATGCAAACTTGATTTCATTTTCTTCAGCTTCAGTTTGAATTTGCATATCAGTAATTGATGATCTGTTCCACAGTCTGCCCCTGGCCTTGTTTTCACTGATGATATGGAGCTTTTCCATCTTTTCTTTCCACAGGTGTAGTCGATTTGATTTCTATATATTCCATCTGGCAAGGTCCATGTTTATAGTCGTCTCTTATGCTGTTTAAAGAAGGTATTTGAAATAAACAAATCATTTGTCTTGCAGAAATCTATCATTCATTCTCCAGCATCATTTCTATCACCAAG